ATAAATGCACAGTTTTAAAATATTCATCTATGAATTCCACAGAATTAAGTAAATGTTACTCATTTGTACAAATCAACATTCCTTCTGCATTAAAAAAAATAGTGTATTCAAATCACAATATTTTAAGTTATTTTAATTTTGGTTTTTAGTTTCAGGCCAGAAAATGTGAAAGGTCTGGTTGTAAAGGAAAACTTTACTACATTTTTCTCACTTTGCATTAGAAAAAGCCTCAGTCTTCAGGAGTGTGGAATGCTTGCAGTGGTGATGCACAAATAACACAGTCAACACTCTTCTCCCAAATTTACTGATTTAATAAAAATGTGTGTATTTTTCTCACTACACTGTAACATTCTTTTATTAAAATAAGAGATGAATTATGTTTGTGTAAAAACCGAGTTGCGTGTTCTTCCTTTGGTGTTTACTTGGCTTCCGGATCGTTGGTGGAACAGTTTCTTTTTAAATGAAGTTGCAGAGTCTCCTCTGAGTGGCAGGCGGACCCTGGAAAGAAGACAGACACAGAGTGTCCCAGGCGTCACGGGCAGCGCTGGACCTGCCAGCCGTTCCCATCCTCTCACCCACAGAATCAGCATAAGAGGGACCTAACTTTTCCAGGTCAGATCTCGTATCTGGAAGGTATCTTCAGGGAACAGAGAATTTCAGTCTCTGCACATCCACCTGAAGCTTGGGTTGTTACTGCCTGCGGAGCTCCTTTGTCTCTTCCCCTGCAGCACTTGCGAGACGTTGCTGCCAAGATGCGTCAGGTGCAGCGTAACCAACCACGCAGGCAGAAACTAAGTGAACCCACTCCAGAGACCCAGGCATGCGGCTAGAGTACCTTTTTGGGTGCTGAAGTGTAATGCTCACTGACTGAAGAGAAAAGAAATAGGTTATTTCCCACTATGTGACTAAACCGATGGATGCTTTTCTCATATATTCGCTTGTTTGTCTTCTGTGAAACGACAGGACAGAATTAAGCAACGTAGTGAGTAAGGGATGAAGAAAAGAGACAGACTAAAACATAATTAGGTAAAAGCCACAGATAACAGGGTGGACAGTCAGGGCTGATCAACAAGATGAATGTCTTGGTTTGAAGATTTAATCTTAAATCTTAAGATTGCAAGCAATCTGTCAAATGGTGGTGGTTGTTGTGTAGTCGCTAAGTTGTGTCCTACTCTTTGCAACCCCATGGACTGCAGCATGCCAGGCCTACCTGTCCATCACCAACTCCCGGATCTCACTCAAACTCATGTCCATCGAGTCATTGATGCCATCCAACCAGCTCATCCTCTGTCGTCCCCTTCTCCTCCTGCCTTCAATCTTTCCCAGCATCAGGGTCTTTTCCAGCGAGTCAGTTCTTCACATCAGGTGGCCAAAGTATTGGAGCTTTAGCTTCAGTATCAGTGCTTCCAATGACTAGTCAGGACTGATTTCCTTTAGGACGGACTGGTTGGATCTCCTTGCAGTCCAAGGGACTTGCAAGAGTCTTCTTCAACACCACAGTTAAAAGCAACAATTCTTCGGTGCTCAGCTTTCTTCATAGTCCAACTCTCACACCCATACATGACTACTGGAAAAATTGTAACTTTGACTAGATGGACCTTTGTCGGCAAAGTAATGTCTCTGCTTTTTAACGTGCTCTCTAGGTTGGTCATAGCTTTTCTTCCAAGAAGCAAGTGTCTTTTAATTTCATGGCTGCAGTCACCATCTGCAGTGATTTTGGAACCCAGGAAAATAAAGTCTTTCACTCTTTCCATTGTTTACCCATCTATTTGCCATGAAGTGATGGGACCAGATGCCATGATCTTAGTTTTCTGAATGTCGAGGTTTAAGCCAACTTTTTCACTCTCCTCAAGAGGCTCTTTAGTTCTTCCTCACTTTTTGCCATAAGGGTGGTGTCATCTGCATATCTAAGGTTACTGATATTTCTCCCGGCAGTCTTGATTCCAGCTTGTGCTTCATTTCCCCTTTTATTTGCCATGAAATGATGGGACTGGATGGTATGATCTTAGTTTTTTGAATGTTGGGTTTTAAGCCAGCTTTTTCATTCTTCTCTTTCACCCTTATCAAATGATAACTAGAAACAGAAGGGATATTGAAAATACTCACATTGAAACTCTCTAACTCTGTTATTTATAAGAAGGGGCTATTCTACATGACTTTTTAATAGGGGCATCAGTTATTGTGTTAATTTATCAAGATAATAACTTTTGTTTAATATTTCATGAAGAATCCATCATACACTTTTTTATGAGATTCAAATCCTAATAGTTTTGATAAAACAGCCACATAAACACACACACATGTACATACGCTTGCACATATAAATGTTTTCCAGAATAATTTCCACAGGACATTAAGATTTAAGTATTTTTAGGTGATCTCTACATGTCATGGGCTTCCCAGGTGGTGCTAGTGGTAAAGAACCTACCTGCCAAAGCAGGAAATCTAAGAGATACAGCTTTGATCCCTCTGTCAGCAAGATCTCCTGGAGAAGGAAATGGCAACTGACTCCAGTGTTCTTGCTTAGAGAATTTCATGGACTGAGGAGCCTGGCAAGCTACAGTCCATGGGGTTGCAAAGTGTCAGACACAACTGAGCTACTGACACTAACATGTCATAATCTGAGCAACTAACACTAATGTGTTATAATCATTTTTAAAAGTATATGTTTTGTTTTACATGAAGGCGTAATCATTTAATATTAGCTCCATAAATTTGTAATGAATCATTCTTACGTAAGTTTTTTAAGTGATTTTTATGTTAACCTATGTAGTAATTTTTATTCCTTAATAAATAAAAAGGTTAATTGTAGAAAGCAGGCTTTTTTAAAGTTCAAATATTTGAAAAAAATCTTTTGATCTTAATAAGTAATACAGCAAGGGAAGCCAGCTCATGCTGAAAATGTTGCCAGGTATATTTTGAGTTTTGGAATTAAAAACTCAAAATATGCATCATTGGACTGTATTTTTTGAAAAGCAATATAGTATAGTGAAAATAATGGGATTGAACTGTAACTTTTCAGTGACTGGGTACATCAAGTGATACCTTTGATCCAGTAAGCCTTTTACCTGGAGTGGAAATCAAATCCTGTATGTTGGTGGTTGCTACTTACATTGGGCTTTCAAAGGGTTTTTCAGAAGTAGTATTAATCCATTGTACTTTTAAATACATTTGCAGTAGTCAAAAGTATGTTTTCGGCAGAATTAAAAAATATGTAACCAAAATATTTATTAATGATAATTAAAGTGACTTCTTTTTATTATACAAAGTAGAAGAGAAATATTGTGAAGAGATAATGAAAATGAAAAATCAGTGGAAATATTTATAAAACATTGATTTTTATATATGAATAACTGAATATAATAGAAAAATCTCTCTAAAATGTCTCAAAATGTCAATTGTATTTTAAATAAGCTTGATGACTTATACCTACTGACTTATCTATTATTTTAAAAACTGACTTATAGAGTTGCAAATACAAGATTTCAAAAGTGAAACTTGGTATAAAACAAACATTATTACAGTGTTTATACATTTTTATTGAGATTTTATTTTATTTATTTTACCTTATTTTTCATTTTTTAAAAATTAAATTATAGTTGATATACCGGAGAAGGAGCCTGGAGGGCTATAGTCTGTGGTGTCGCAAAGAGTTGGACGCAACTGAGCAATTAACACACACACACAATATAGTTGATATACAGTAAATTTAAGTTATCGGTGTTCAGCATAGTGAGTCACAATTTTTAAAGGTTACATTCCGTTTATAGTTACCACAGAACACCTGGCAATATTCCCCGTGTTGTATGGTATATCCTTGCAGCTTATTTATTTTGGATATAATAGTTTGTGTCTCTTAATGCCACATGTCTATCTTGCCCTCCCCTTTGCCTCTCTCACTGGTAACCACTCATTTGTTCTGTGCATCTGTGAGTCTGTTTCTTTTTTGTTGCATTCATTAGTTTCATTTTTTAGAGTCCACGTAACAGTGATATCATACAGTATTTGTCTTTCTCTGTCTGACTTATTTTACTTGGCATAATACCCTCCAAGGCCATTCATGTTGCTGCAGATGGCAAAATTTCATTCTTTTCTGCCTGAGTAGTATTACATTGTGTGTACGTGTGTTAACGTGTGTGTGTGTACATGCACACCACATCTTACTTACCCAGTCATCTGTTGATGGAAGTTAGGTTGTGTCTGTATCCTGGCAGTTGTAAATAGTGCTCCTGTGAACACTGGGGTTCATGTATCTTTCACATTAGTGTCTTTGGCTTTTTGGGGGTGTATTCCCAGGAGTGGAATTGCTAGATGACTGGTAGTTCTGCTTTTTGTTTTCTGAGCAACCTCTGTGCTGTTTTCCATAGTGGCTATGCCAGTTTACATTCCTGTTGGTAGTGTAGGGCAATTCCCGTTTCTCCACATCCTCGCCAACATTTGTTCTTTTCTTTTTGATGATGGCCATTCTGACGGGTGTGAGGTGATATCTCATTGTAGTTTTAGTTTGCATTTCTCTGATTCACGATGTTGAGCACCTTTTCATGCGTCTGTTAGCATGTCCTCTTTGGGAAAATGCCGATTTAACATTTTAAGTGGAAATTTAAGGTGATGTATTTTCGTCTAGTTTCTGTGGGCTGTAATATATTTAATTGTATATTTGCCACATTTATATGTTTTTCAAATTAAAACCAGTATATTAAGTGGAGTTAAATCTGAAAATTTACATTTTAGAATCTTAATGTCCAAGGTGTATAAATGAAAAATGAGTTGCTTTTGATTTGTAATAATTTGACCATATTATTCATTTTATTAGTCATGTTCTAAAGGTCATCAAAACCCTTAAACTATCAAAACATTTTGAACCTCATTGATTGTAACTATTTAAAGAAAAAAATTTATTTTTAAGAAGTAGCTTTGACAGTCTTAAGACTATTTGAACTAGACTGTTGCCGTGGCTGCATTGTTTTCTCTGTGTAACGCCCTCTGTCTATCATTTACAGATCCGGAGGTGCTGTGGAAGTTCCCAGAGGACTTTGCAGACCAGGTTGGAACCACATAATTTTTAAAAAGCATTTAAAATTGAGTATTGATGATTATTACTGCTGTTACTACTATTATTGGTACTGAAGCTGCTGCTGCGTATGAATTACTATAAGTATTTTCTCTTGGTCAGCTCTAAGAATAAAAAGCTATGTATGCAAAGTATCTGCAAAATGTTTGGAAGTTGCCAGCAAGATGGGTGATGAAGAGGCCCGTCTTGAAGCTAATAGGAAGTGAATGTTCACAGTTTCCACGTGTTTTTACACTCTTTTAATGTATCTGTGGAAAATATGTTTAGAAACACTTAAGCCTTTCCCCATCTGAAAGACCTGATGGTACGGTTCTTTGAGGAACACCCTTCTGTCAGTAAAATGAGAGGGTGCTACTTAGCTCTTTCTTAGCCCTGTAAGCATGGCAGTAAGAAGTGGTAACTGCTGCAACTAAGAGGTCATTTCTGTCCTTGTTACAGTAATATTGGGGTCATTAATGTATGTAAGTTGAACTGGTATTTCCTTATTTTAAAATAATTCTTATTTGTAGCTTTATTTTCTTAAAAAAGCCAGGAGACTTCATAATGAATTTACTGTATTTGTATTTTAAGTGTAATCTTCTCTAGTTCCTTAACTATTTATCGTGACCACAACTGTGAATTATTTTGACATGATGTGTGTAAATTAAGAAATCCTTATAGTTTATATTATGGATTTATCATTTTGAAGTGAATTATATGGGTAACCATACACATTTACATTTTTACACAAAAAACTACTCTTTCTGGAAATCTGATGAGCAGGTTCCTTTTTTTTTTTTTTGTCTGCAAAGAAATGGGGTGAAACAGTTTTGTCATTGTTAAAATTATAAAATTATAACACTATAAGCTTAAGCATAAGTTAAGTTCACAGATAGTAATCTCATAATTTACAAAAACGAAAGCTGATAAAAGCTTTCATTTTAAAGCAGTTCATTCGGAAATATGCAGACATGTGATTTTGATGTGGAAGAATAATTTATAACGTGAAAATCAGTATCTAAGATTAGGAAATTTTGCTGAAAAAGTGAGTTAAATGAGCATATTAAATACTAGTTAGATTGACTGTTGTTTCACATAATAAGAGAGTATGTGCTTTTAATTTGTCTTTAGCCTTTTGGAGAAAGAATAGACTTATAAGTGTTTTAGGTATGTGAGTCCGTACAGTGAAGACAGGATTTGTACACATGAGGCTTCATTGGGTTTGTTCCTCAGTAATGGGAAGTTACTTCCCTTGGATCTGCCTTTAATGCAGGAGTTCAGTTCAGTTCAGTTGCTCAGTTGTGTCTGACTTTTTGTGACCCCATGGACTGCAGCACGCCAGGCTTTCCTGCCCATCACCAGCTCCTGGAGCTTGCTCAAACTCATGTCCATTGAGTTGGTGATGCCATCCAACCATCTCATTCTCTGTCGTCCCCTTCTCCTCCTGCCTTTAATCTTTCCCAGCATCAGGGTCCTTTCAGATGAGTTAGTTCTTTGCATCAGGTGGCCAAACTATTGGAGTTTCAGCTTCAGCATCAGTACTTCCAGTGAATAATCAGAACTGATTTCCTTTAGGATGGATTGGTTGGATCTCCTTGCAGTACAAGGGGCTCTCAAGAGTCTTCTCCAACACCACAGTTCAAAAGCATCAGTTCTTCGGTGCTCAGCTTTCTTCATAGTCCAACTCTTACATCCATATATGACCACTGGAAAGACCAAAGCTTTGACTCGATGGACCTTTGTTGGCAAAGCTCTGCTTTTTAATATGCTGTCTAGGTTTGTCTTAGCTATGCAGGAGACCTGGGTTCAATTCCTGGGTGGGAAGATCCCTGGAGAAGGAAATGGCAACCGACTCCAGTGTTCTTGCCTGGAGAATCCCATGGACAGAGGAACCTGGTGGGCTGTTGTCCGTGGGGTCACAAGAATCAGACATGACAGTGACTAAACCACCGCAACGAGAAGTTAGGTTAGAGCCTTGCTGACTCATCTTACTGTTGTAAAATTGTGTTTCTCTCTTGCTCTTTCTAGCTCTCTCTGGTCTCACCTCCTGTCCAGATTCTTATTTCCTTGTAATTTCTAACTCTTAAACTGCCCCTGAGAATTCCTAGGGCATCTGAAGGCTCCTCACTTTGGGTTCACATAAGTGATGGTGTGCTTGTCGAGTTCAGCTACAGTAAATTCTGCAGCCAGGCAGACTGTCGCTGTTCCTCTTTGTGACTGATAAACTGGTGATAGGAATGTCTTAGTTGTTGCTTTGTTTCCCACATTTGTGAGGTCAGGGGAACGTTAATAAACCCTCAGCCCTCACATACTTAGTGAAACACAGACGCATTTGACCACATAAAGTTGATGAGCATTCATAACCCCCAGGATTTCAGGACATAGCAGTTCTTGTAGACTTTTTGAAAGGAGCTTTAGATAGTATTTTATCTAACTACTTCACTTTATAGCTAAAGAAACCACACTTCGTTTGGGAATCCAGCCATGGGCTGTGAAGAATGGTTTTGTTGTAGGCTTTTTGGAGAATATTCTGAATACTGCAGATGACCCATGGTGCTAGTGGTAAAGAACCTGCCCACCAGTGCAGGAGAAGTAAGAGACATGGTTTCGATCCCTGGGTCAGGAAGACTCCCTGAAGGGCAAGGCAGCCCCCTCCAGGATTGTTGCCTGGAGAGTCCCGTGGACAGAGGAGCCTGGTGGGCTACAATCTGTAGGTTAACAAGAGTCAGACAGGACAGAAGTGACTTAGCACAGCACACAGCACCCTGTATTTCTCATTGTTTTTGTCTTTTCCTGGTTTCATATGTGAGTTATCTCCTTCTTCCCAGATAGCTTTTTCACTGGATCTGAGATGCTTCAGTAAGAAAAATGCTTTTAAAAAAAACTCTTTGTTTAGCTCTTACCGTGTACTAGGCACTGTGCTAGGAGCTTGTGTGCGTAATTGATTTTATCTTCATATCCTTCCAGTACTGTTAGGAGATAGTATCAGACCTGAAACTGAGACTTAAGTAAGAAACTGGCCTGATCACACACTGCTTACAAGAGGCAGAGCTAAGACTTGAGGGCAGGTTTGTCTAACTCAGAAGCATGTGCTATTAACAAGTAAGGTATATTATTATTTCTGCTTGGAATGCTGACCCAAGCCCTACTTGCTTATTTTAGCTTTAAAAAAAAAAGTTTAGTATATAAAGTCCCCTATCCCCCAATATCTTTATAATTGGAAAGCAGTATGTTTTTTAATCCATGGAAGTAATATCAGTTCATTTACTCCTTTGATTCTACCTCATGGAGCTCTTGATCCATCATAGGCCTTTATTTATTATATGGAAAATAATAAACCAATTTTGATTTGGTTTCCTTCTTTTGGCAATGGATGAACCAATGGGACAACCCAAATCACACTTCAGGAGGAGCTGTAATTGATTTGATTTTAGTTGTTGTTTTATTTTTTACAGTGGAGAATTTTGTGTAAGGAGAGGGGGAGGTGAAACTACAAACATAAATTGGGCTGGGTCTCGGCAACAATTAAAGGCCTTGCTAAAGAGGTGGTCCTTCCAACGAACTTAAGGAGAGTTGGTATAACAAAACAAGTACGTTAGGAACATTACTTTGTAAAAGATTTCAGTATGGATTGGTGGTGGGAGAAACTGGAGGCAAGGAAGTAAGTGACTTTGCAGGAGACTAGCTGAGGAGTAACTGGGATCTGAAAGAGCTGGTTATGATCGGAATGAAAAAGAGGAAGAATGTGTTGACCGGAAGTAAATCGACTCCCAGATGTTTCTACAGCAAAGGTGGGTTTCTTTGGGATCCGCAAAGGGTTGCATCTTGAGGTCTGCAGCTTGAGCCCTCTGCAAGTCCCACAGGGCAGGTGAAGAAGAAGTCTTTTATAGAAGAGAGACAGGAAGTGGGGAGGGCAGGGCCGTGGAGACCGAGAGACTGTGGCTTTTCGTTGGCCGAGTCCTCGCTGGAGGGAAGCGGAGCCGATCTTCTTCCTGTTGGGCCCTGTTAGGGCCTGAGAGCTCCCCCTTCTGGTCTCCCCGCTCTCTTTAGTTCAGGCTTCTGTTTATTAAGTTTTTGCAGGTGTGAAGTAGGGAGCCTGCGTTCAGAGGTGTTCTGGGCTGCATGGGGTAGAGAAGAGTAATGAGAGGTGGAGTTGCATTTTGGCACTTGAAGGAATGTTGAATTATCTTCCATGCAAGTGGAGGGGACTTTGGGGATTTGGGAAAAAATGGAGTTGTGCACCTGTAGGAGATGAAAAGGTGTGAATGAATTAGAGGATTTACAGACAGATTTAGTCGATGTCAGTTGTATGTCTTGCAAATGCATTGAGGCCTGTGGCTGAGAAGATGGATGCAGAAGAAATGCTGCCCTGCCTGCTGTAGGTGATAGCAGCGTCTCTTATTAAATTCCGGAGATGCTCACCACTTCTGGATGAAATGGGTAATTTTGTCTGTTTTTGCTGCTGCCAAGCTGAGCTCTCCATTGCTCTTATATTACCGTTGTTCACATTTACACTTAATAGCTTGATGCTGTTTTTCACAGTACTTGACTTTTCACCCGTACTTTCTGCTTGTCATTTTCATGGCTCATGTTTCTGTATCTCTGCTGTTTTCATGTACCATTGGCCTTGTGAGGCCATGGTTGGTCTATATCTCTTCAGTAAGAGGAGTCAGTCTTTGTGAGTGAAGTGTACCTTTAGAGAATGGCCAGAAATCAAATCTCACACATGCCGGACTCAGGTCTGTGTGTGAGTCATGGCTTTGTACTGACAGATTGTATGAAGTATTGCTTTGGCAAGAGTTTTTATCTCTCTTAATTCCTCATTTGCAAAATAGGGCTGATTCTACTGATCTAACAAAATGAGGATAAGAATGAAGTCTATGAAGCATAGTATCTGGCACATGGAAAACACTCCATGAATGGGAGCCAGGAGTTTTATTATTATATTATAAGGCCATGAATGTTTATTAAGTTATGATGAGGACCAGATAGAA